ATGTGAAGTCGCTTAATTTCTCTAAGAATGAAATGAACTTTGCATGCGAGTTTTTTGTAAATGCTTGCATGCTGGATACTGTACACAGCATAATGTGATCGAATGCACCATATGACTAAATGGACGTTCATACCATTGATTTGGTATGTACTAATCAATATGTTCTAATATACGTTAAACCGTTAAGCGTGCACACGCGGTATTTTTTTACCGCAAGTGTGTACCGGGCCTAAAAGTATTATTATTATCTTATTCTACAAAATAAATGCTGAATGCAAATAAATTTATATTTCTACATACAAGTATATATGATACATTAGATTTACTGATGAAAATAATATATAAAATAATTTTTAAAACAAGTTATAATACAAATGAAAAAATTATTTTAAGTGAATATATAGTATATAATTACTTTTTAATGGAAGTAGCTGTGTAAAGAATATCGAAGTTTATTCCAAGTTGAAACTAACTTTTTAGTTTTTATATATAATTTTCAAGCTTCTATAAAATCGATAAATATATATGTTTTGTATAATATTCATAGTTGTCAATATATTAGTAGATAACATTATTTGGCATAGTAATAACAAAATATTTATTATCAAATTTCGTAATGCATTGTTCTAATTCTAATCTAATCAATTTCGACCTCCTAAAGTGTCTAAAGTTGAAAGTAATCGCTTTGAACCGAATGAAGAGTGATTGATTGCAAAGTGTGATAGCTTTATAATAAATAGTGATTTTTATTAAAAATTATTGCAAATATTAAATTATTTATTTTTGCAAGTAATTAGCAACAACGAGCTTACTTTGTATAAATAATCAACTTAATGAATGTATAAGAGTAAAGGTGTTGCCCTGATTATTTATTTAATTTGCACTTCATTATTTGTCTAAATAAAGTAGATATGGCTTGTTGAATTTAATAACTTTAAAGGAAAAATATTTGATTAACCGATTATTAACATAATTCATATGTTTTATTTGATACAAACAACATTATTGAAAATTTGCTTAAACACTTATTACATACGGAATTTTTAAAATAAATATCTTACATATAATACCTTTTTTATATAAAGAGCATTTAAATAACAAACAATAATCCTCAAATAATTTCGTATTTTATTTTATATAACATTGAGTTTTATTAATTCTAATCACATAATTAAATTATTATGTGATTAGAATTTTTATAACTCCATGCTAACTTTATTTTTGTTTACTTGCTAAATTTTGATTGATTTACTCTCTGAAAATTTTGTGGGCAAATTTGTGTTGTGATAATATGCTAAATTGGCTTTTTTTATAATTTACATCATGAGTGTAATTATTATATAATTATATATTAATTACCGTATAATTATATATATATATTAATTATATAATAATGCATATTAATTATTATATAATTATAATTTATTTAATTATTATAAATTAGTGTATAATATTCTTTTAATGCTTTGTTAATATAAAAGTCTTGTATGAAGAACAATAAGATATATATAAACATTTATTTAAACAACTTATATAGAATTTTAAAAGATTTCACATTATTAATGCAAAACATTTAAATGAATTAAAAATATAAGTATAAATATAGTGCATATAGTATAGTATAAATATTTTAATACTACTGAAGTTAAAAATACATAGCTTTTATTATAAAACATAGCTAAACCCGAGTTACGTTGATATATCTCTCAAAAAACAAATGATTTCATTTTAAATTTTATAATACTTTGACAGTACTTTGACAGTTCTATAAACAAACAATAGTTCCTATAGAACTTATTGGAAATATAAAGTATTAGAACAGCACCAGAATCGATATAAATAATATTTAGTCACACTTTCTGACAGCTAATCTAGTTCCATTGCACAGTTTAGGTGGATTAATGTTATGCAAAAGAATAATTGGTGCTCCAACTTTAGAAATCTTTATATTAGAATTCTAACATAAGTAAGAAGTTTATAAAGAAATTAGTTACTTGTGGCAAACAGCAAAATTGTCATAGCTGTATTAATATATTTTTATACGGGTTCATAGGTTTCTTTGTAATATAAAAATTTAAAAAGCAATTATAAAGCGATGACTGCTACCTTTAGTTTTTATTTATTGTTACATTCTAAACCTTATTACGAGATGATTGTCTATTAGTAGAAAAAGTCATTCATCTATTCTGCTACTGTCCAGCAATTCCTAGAAGGTATTTATGCACTTTGGGTGTAGCTTTCCTGAAGTGTATGTCTAATATCGCAAATATAGGCACTAGTCACATTGTGTCCGTCATCAAAATGACGAATTTGTTTCCTGGTGCGAAATATGTCTCTTGGAATAGGTAGTATATTCAAAAATTTGTGGTAATACGTACAAAGGATCCACACAAAGCGCCTAAGTGAGCTGTCATATCTTGTAAGGTTAGTCACTAGTATTTATTTATCCAGCCAGTTATTTAGTTGCTAAAGTAATAGACTGGGAGAGACTATTTTTTTTAAACAAAAATTGTTGAACTACATGATATTATGATGAAATATGTGATTACTAAATAAAAAATAAAAGACTATTAAAGTTTATATAAAGCAAAAGTTAGATTACTTTCAGATATAAAAAAAACTTCAAAAATCTTTAAACAAACAAATCAATGGCGTATTTAGTAGAGTTGGGTGAGGAGATAGATATTTCTTTGGCAACATAATTTACAAATAACACACTGCAAAAACACTACATAGATTATTGAGTATACTACTCCTTGACATAATCCTGGACATGATATTCGATAATATTTAAGAACTTGTTTTTTTAATTTCCAAAAATACAATTGAATAGAACTGATTAATAAATTATTCGTTAATTTAATTCAATTATGTTTAATTAAAATATCGAACAGTAGTGAACTACAACAACAAAAATTTTATTTTTTATATTATTTTAATTAATTGAATTTTTGGCTGACCATACAGCTGTTTCGAGTATTGCCAAATACTCATCATCAGTGGTCTTGGAAATAATTATTGTATTTAATTATTCGTAAATAATTATTTTTGAGACTGCAAGTATCAGGATTCGAACTCGTGTCCTGCCAAATGTGAAGCTCAGAATCAGCGAAGCTCAAAACCCTGAACCAACTGATCCAAAGCCGTACTTGACTTTTTATGTTTGCATATTTTTCTGGAGTTTTTGTTACTTTTGCTATGAAAGTTTTTATTAACAATTTTATTTGCTTTGTTTATATTAGAACGAAATCATAAACCAGCTGTAGAATAATTGAATTAATTAATAAATTATATTTTTATTTTTGATTGTTAAATTTCAATACTATTCTTTTCGTAGAGGCATTATTATTAAAATATTATTAAATTTTTGATGTAAATTAAGATGATGTTTTTTTTTTTAAATCTGTCTTTGAAAAAATACAGATTAAATAAAAAATTAATTTGTAACCAAAATTATAATTTCGGTTAACTTTTAAATCATCAATCATTTAAACTTAAGTTAAACTTAAGTTAAGTGTAAAACTCTAATATGAAGCTTTTTTCTCAACTTGTACAAGCTACACAAAAGTTTTTTAAGCAATTGTCTAATGAGTTTTAGTTTCATTGAGTGATTTTGATTTGAGTTTCGCATTTTTTGATATACCAACCACATGGGGGGTTTATTTACAATTGCTGATGCCTACAGGTGGCACTTAATGTTGCAAAAAAAGAAAAAAACGTGTGTGTGTATATGTTTGTGCGAAAATATGTAAGGCTACAAATTGGCGCTCTACTTCGCGTAGTAAAGACTTTTGTTGATTACTATATGCGGTCATTTAAGGATAAATAAATTTTTGCAATATACTCGGTTGAATATTATACGTGGTTATTTAAGCATAAATAAGAACAAAATATGTAAAAATATTATGTGTAACGACATAAAACTGCAATATATTTGGTTGATACTTGCTACATACGGTTATGGTAAATAATGTAAATAAACTCAAAAAAGAAAACTAAATAAAAACGTTGTTTTTAAATATTTAAGACGGCAATATATGCTCTTTTTTTTGTCTGGGAATAAATTAGGTTCAAATTTTGAATTTAACGTATATAATAGCAGTGGACTATTTTCACTTTAATAGAAACTGTGGAATTTAATAGTGAAATAACACAAAGAAAACTAATGATTGGTATTTGGCAATACTCGAAATAGCTGTATGGTCAGCCAAAAATTCAATTAATTAAAATAATATAAAATGAACTATTGTTGTTGTAGTTCACTACTTTTCAAAAAACCTCTTTATTAATGAAATGAATGAAATAGAAATAAAATTATTTGGGTTTCCAATGGAACAGAGAATATTCCGACCACAGTAGTAAACCCTTTTTGCTAACTACTGATCCTAACAGAATATAAAACACCTAGCGTTTTGACTGAAGTTTAATTTTAGATCGAAATATGAACTCTGCATAGCATTATTATTAATTATTGATCAAAGCAACTTAGTCACAAAACTACGCCATTACATAAAATTTTTATTAATTTTTAATACAAAATTAATATGTTTGTTAATAAATCATATATTTATATTTCATTTATACTTTATTAATTTCAAAAAATTATTACAATTGCATTTATATGAGACTTAATCACTCTCGCTAAGTACTAAGAATATGCACATAGTATTTTATGTTGTGGTAGTATAAGAAATAAAACGCATATTTACAATATATCAGTAAGAAGACAAAAGCTTTGTAGAAATGTGCTCAAGTATGCGTATGAAGCTTTCATATATGCTAAAGCTATAGCAAGCTTACACACACAGCTGAACTTAAAAAGTGCAATAATTTATACTAGTAGCTTGATGTATAAGGAAAATATTTGAAATTTTAAACAACATGTATTAGAGTGTTTTAAAGCTTGAGTGCTTTAAAGCTTGAGTGTTCTAAAGTTTGAGTATTTTAACACATAAAATAGAGGGTTTCTGCTCAGAAACAAATTCATAGATTTTAGTGCATAGTACACGTATTTACCGTGCGGACAAAATTCATAAAACGGATGTTGAATTAAAATTAGAGAGCTACGACGATTAGTAATATATAAAGATCAAATTTACAAAAAAAAATAGATATTTCGGTTACTCAAAATTAATAAAATAAGTAATATGTTATATTATTGATTAAATAGTTAATAATCGTTAAATAATTTTATGGCAAGCGAATATGTTTTATTTGCAATCATTAAATTAACCATCAACGGAAACGTGACAAAACTTGTATAAACAACCGGAAACGTGTATGTCTTTGTGTAAATAAATTGACACGCTTTACGTGAAACAGCTGATTCAAACAAGTAAAAAGTAAAAGAAAAATAATATATCAAGGAATTTCGGAATTCTTCCCTTTCTACTGGATTTTATGGCTGCATTGTAGCTTGAAATTGTTTGCACTTGAAAGCAATATCCTTTAAATTTATGTATTTATTTGGTGTCCTTGCATTCAAGTATCGTCTGTGTAACGGTGTGTAATAAATACGAGCAGTAAAAGATACAAAAAAAATAAGATAAAATAAAATAAAAAACGAAAACAATAACTCATAACAAAACAAGAGTGCACAATATTCAAAAAGCGCCAGAAAAAAAAAAACAAGAGGAAATTAAATAAAATATAAGAAGAAAGGTAAAAATTGTTTTTGCGATTCTGCGCGGGAAAAATCATAACAAAAGTAAAATTACAATTGTCTTTAAACTCTTTAAAGTAAGGAAAAATATCTAGAACACAAAAAATGGTAGATAATGGTAGTAAACACAAACCATAGCAACAAATACTGCAAAAACAAAGTTCGCAAATTACATCAAAAATATTACCAGACAGACACCTACAGACTTATGTATCTCTATTTATTACTTAAAATTGAATTAATTATAATTAATTAAGCCACTATATATAATATAATATAATAAAATATTTCCTTTATTCCACAGCCACTAATCAAACTAATTGCTTTCGAATTTATATCATCACATTTATGTCCTGAGTTTAAAATTTAATATCCTTAATTGAATTAGGCGAGCAATGTAGCTACTCCTTCCGCTTGATCTGTTCATTTAGCATCAAAAGTTTTGCAACCTTACTCTGCAGTTCCCATCCACATGATGGGAAGGGAGTTGCTTTTGTTTGCATTGAAATTTTGCACAGGTGTGCGATATGGGCAAAGTATACACTTGAATGTATCTCACTTTGTTGAAAAATTTGTTGCCAGGTTTGTATAGTAACAAATAAGGCAATAACAAAAAACAGAGAACAGAGAAAATATGATTTTAGTTCCAAGGCAGATGCGGTCCATGTGTCTTTATGGACTCCAGTTCATACCAGTGCATAGTACATGGAGTACTATGTATTATATTTAATATTACTTGGTATGAATAGCATATGTGTAAATGTAGGTTTAAAAGGTCGACACTAGATTATTATCCATTTTAGACAAATAACCATGAAAGGTTTATAGGTTCATTGCGCTATTTATTTAAAATAGAAATTTCTGTATTTAATTTAGTTAAGTAAAAACTTAACTAAAAATTTAAGATTAAGTTTTTATAGACATTATTGTTGTAAAACTTGTAGATATTTTTTTTAATTTATATTTCATTAATTTATGAACATTTTTACAAAAAAATTAAATAAAAAATAATATTAATAATGGGGTTTTTTGACCAGAACGTTGTGTTTTTTTAAATTATAATATTGTACTGGGCTCTCAGTAGAACAAAGAGAACACTGTAATCACAGTAGAAAATTTAAAACTTCAAGATTCAATTTAATATTAACCCATTAAGTACCAGGCAATTTCAAACATGAAATTTTACGGTCATATTTCTATAGTAAATAGTAAAATAAATCAAGTTTAAGTAAGGAAAAGTTTATTATTTATTTGAAAGATTGCTCTCATTTTATATTTACCAAAAAAATTCAAAATATATTAAAAAATAGTCAAAGCTAGCCGTGTGGTGCACCATAAATAAGTTGTGGTCCGTGGTCCGAAATAGGTTAAATGGGTTTTTTATTTAATTTTCTTTAATAAAATGTACCTAATAATGACAATAGATAGTTTCAATATTATTAATTAAGTTTAATATAATGCACCTACAAAAAATAATCATACGCAGTGTAGAACATTTCATTGCTAATGTTCTGGTCAATGATGACGATCACTAGAATATGGTTCGATGATAGTTTGTAATTGGTTTTGTGCTGCATATATTCATAAAGTAGACCTTTAGTAGTACAAATATTAAAAAGATCAGGAATTTGTGCTAAACCTGATAGTTAGTAACTGGGCACTCCCGCAGAAAATACTTTAAGCTGTAAGATTCTCACTACCTTTTATAATTCATGCCACTCTGTTGTGGTTATACGAGGTCTACAAAATACATTTTTCGTATTATAATCAACAATTATAAATAGACTCCTTAACGTTGAGAGAAATTTTGTGTTGATTTCCTGTTTTAGTTCGTGTTTTGGAGGACATTATATAACAGATACAGCAAGAAGTCATTTGTGCTATAATAAATTGAATTATAATGTTTAATCATTTTTATTTAGTCCATAAGTTTTTCCCTCAGGATGTGTAACTTATAAAGGCAATAACATGGAATTTTGACAAAACTTTTTTTTTCGAATTGTGTTTCTGGAATGTCTACGTTATTTTTTGATAGAAATAATTTCAGTCCAGAATGAAATAATGGCAGTCTATTGGTATTCCATTGGACTAGGTTTATGGACATAACGTTTTTTTGCAGACTATACTTTGTCTTATTGCTATCCCCAATAATTCCATTTCTTTTATTTCGCTAATCGATGTGTCAGCAATTTTTAGTTTAAACAGATTGACTTATGCAGATATAAGTATTAATAAATATGCTTTTATGATATTATATAAAATTAAAATGATTTGCTTAGTCTAATTTGTGTTTGAACCACATTCAAAGTTTCTGAGATAGTAAAAGAAGAAAATGCTCTATTTTTTCAAACATCTTAGTTAATAACTATAATAAAATTTCATTATAGTATGAAATTTATATTAAAAAAAATTTTTACATTAACTATGTTCACTTTATTAGAAATTAATATAGTATGATGAAAATAATAAACAATATGAGAATTATAATTTTAAAAGTCAGGTGGTTATACTTGTATTACCGTTGTTTTACTTGAATTACCTTGCGCATTTTGCAACTTTTGTTGTTTTAATTTTTTTTTTAATGTTATTTAATAATAATTTGTTTAGACTGTATAATCTCGATTTCATAAAACAAATGTTTTAAATAAAATTTAATAAAAATGTTCATTTACATTCATTACCAATGAATAACAAATATTGTATATGGGTCATTCCTTGACATACGAAACAGGTTTGACTTCATCATCTCCCATTTGGATGAAATTTTTTATTTGACTTATTTTTTTAAAATTAAATAACCCATGTTTTGAAAAAAAATTATTCAATTTTTATTAGGAGTTACAGATTACTATATTACACTATATATAAATACTATTGGGATTTAAGAATTTGTTTTTTGTACCAATTTTTAAATGGACTTTAAGGCTTTGTAAATGATAGAGACCTTCAATTATTTGCATAGTAAAGTTAATAATAATAATAATAATTAAGTATTTTTGTAAATAAAATGAATAATTAAAATTTGTTGTGTTTTTACTAATATTTACCCCTTTATTAGGTAAGCAATTTTTTCAAAATGTACGTTGAAAATTTTTATTATTGATTTAGATTTATAAAATTTTAGTAAAAATCTGAAATTTTCCCATTGAAATTATTTTTAGAAGTAATTAAAAAAAATATTTATGCTGTACATCTTTTTCATAAAAGCACTTAATTTTAACTTATAATATTAAAGATATTGTAAATTTTTTCTTCTACACCCTTTTGAAAAGACTTACAATTATTATAATATTTAATCATCAAAAGTACAGACACAAAACTTTTTAAAGTTAAATATTTAATAAATGCCTAATAATTGATCCATTGTAGTATTAAATACCCCAAGAATTATATTTTGCTATGAGTTTGTGTGTTATCAAGGGGCGCACACAGTTATGTATAAAAAAGCACTCAATTAATTAGTAATGCCTGCACTCATAAAAATTTACTCTCCCATGCTGTTTTAGTTTCCGTTTTATATTATTTGTTTTTATTTTTAAATTTCTTTTTGTTTTGTTTTGTTTTTGTTATTGCAATTAATGTTGCTATTTTTTTGCATTTCTTTTATTTGTCGTAAAATGCATGAGAAAGAAATAACAACAAGACTAGTTGACATTATCACGTGTTAGGCATTGTATTTCATTTTTGTAACGTTCTTTCGTAGTAAACACACATTCATACATATTGAGGTTAACGTAAACAGATTTTGCGGTCTGTCAGACTGTAAACAAAATATTTTTGATAATAAAATTAATAATCAAAACAAACAAAAACAAAGTGGCAGACATGGAAAATAAACTGACAGCCGCTGTATAGAGTTTTGAGCGGTGTCAGTTTTGATTTAAATAAAATCGTCAAGAAAATAAATTTCGTGCACTCTAAGTGAAATTAAATTAATTTTAGAGTAAACGAATTTGTCATACTTTTTTATTTTTTTATAATTTGATATTGTAAAGAGAGTACATAAATATAAAAAAAAATATATATATATATATATATTTAATCTGGCTGTAAGTCCCTTCTTGGTAAAAAATAACGTTTAATATTTTATACTCTATATTTCGACTGTCCTTGAGAGTCATCACAGGAATTGCGATTATAAGTTAATATTATTACAAGTACATACGCGTTCTCCTCTTTGTTCTATCGTCTATATTGTTTGTGTATTTTCATCCCATATTGATGATATTCTCTTATGTGAGTATATAAAATACAAGAGTTATGTTTCTTTAATATTGAATAATTTGTATACAGAGGTATAAATAAATTAAAAGTAACTAATAACAGTACTCAAGTCAGTTTTTAGTGCTGTTATTAAGCATTTTCAACTTATCTTATTTTCTGTTTTGTTACTTTTCCGTCTTTCAAGTGTTATGTTATTAGCTGGTATTTTGAATGTGTCTTGCTTTCTTCTTTGTTACTTGTTTCTTCTTTATTTTTTGTGAAGTCCATGATTAAGTTTAGCACTAGTTGCGTGATTAAGTAAAGCGACGGCGTTTAATTCTCAACTTATTTGAATTATAAATGTTTTTTTTTATTCAATTTGTTCCAACTGTATTTAATTAATATACAATAATATCCTGTATTTTAATAAATACGTTTGCAATATCTGTCACTTAATAACTATTGTAAGTTTCATATTAGTTTGTAATATTGTATTTATTATATTATTACTTACACCATCTGCAGTGATGTCTCTATATTTATTGAAGGAGATAAAAAAGTATAGGTATAAAAAAAAATATTTAAAGTCGACGACATTTAAATCTTAGATTTAAAATTCACAAGAAAAACTTTTGTAGGGACTACAATTTAGCAAAGATTTTTGTATACACTCTTTCCTTTCACTAATGCATAGAAATTTTTGAACGAAATTCTCAAATAAAATTCGAAAACAATATGAATTTACATTCGAATCTAGTCAAAGTACAACCAAAGTCTACATAGAATAAAAAATAATTTTTCTAATATCTTTTTCCAGAAGATGGGTACCCATGAGGTTTTGAAAATTTGCTTTGTAAATTTACTCTCAAGCTCTGTAAATGGTAGAGACTTACAATTTACTGCATTGTAATCATAATTAATATAGGTTTTCGTAAGTAAAACAAACAATTAAAATAATATATTTCAGTCTAGTATTAAACACTTATTTTTAAAACAGTAATATTTTCAAAAATCTTAAAAATAAAAAATGTACATATTTGTAGTAGAATTATTTTTAAATATATTTTTAAAAAGATAATTAAACGTGCACCTCTCATAATAAGTTTAAGCACAACATTACTAAGTTAAATTTTGAAAAATATTTTACATAAATATTTATTTTTTTGATTTGGATATAATATCAAGTATATATAATGATATTTACGATTAAAGTGATTTTATTTTTAGAAGTAATTTTAAAAAATAATTTAGCATTGCACTTTATACATAACGTTTACGTAATAAATATCAATGATTTTAAATTTTAAAAAATAAACCATTCCAAATCCTCATTTTTTTTTCGTTACGTTTAATTCGAATTTATTATTAAATTTGTTATTTATTATTAAATGGTGTTATTTTAAGAAGTACTTTCAAAAATGCTAATCAATCGGTCAGCCTACATCAAAATCAAGCGTACGATATGTGCATTAAATAAAATTTGTAAAATATATCACCAAAATATTTAATTTTTATTTCTGATTTAAATTAATTACTAAATTCTACTTGAAAATCCAAATTTTCAGAATGAAATTATTTTTAAAAGTATTTTTAAATAATTAATTAGGCGCACACCTCACATCATGTATTTTTTATTTTAAATCGGTCGGTCATAAAAAATTTACTGAATCTAAAACCTTAATATTTAGGTTTTATAATTTACTTATTCAGACAATAAATCTCAAACAATAAATCTCAAAAAAAGTGTACAGATATTTTGGACCACTCTCAATGGAGTCATAACTTAAATCTTAAATTTGAAGAAACTAAAACAACTAAAACTTATATTTCGTATATTATATTTCTTCTTTTAGATATATTAACAATAAACAACTCCTTTTACTTGGCCCTAACAGGATTTAAAAATCATTTTTCAGAATTCCATATACTTGAATAAATTTACTGACCGCAATAACATGTATTAAATAAAAACCTTAAGAATATAGTCAATATATTCCGACATTTGTGTTCTCCCCTCCCTAAGCAAATTACAGCGAGTAGAGCATATGTTACTTTATAGAGTGAGTCGGCCCATACCACCTCAGCAGTCAGGTCAACGCATACATGGCCAATCTATTCCAAATGCAGAACTTCTGACTTAATGCACAGAAGCAAATCAGAGGTATCGAGGTAAATATCTGTCTTTATAGGGCACTGGATCATAGGACGTCTTGGAGCTAGACTCGGCCTAACCTGTGGTATCTCCTGCAGCCCATGTCTACCAACTGTCGAATAAAGGACATCAGTAAACCTGTTATGTCTATGTCTAGGCCTGGCCAGAACTAGGCTTAGACTTTTGGAGTACTGGAGCGATATCTCCAGTATTAGCATTGGCCAGACTCTCGCTTTTATAAATGCTTCTGGCTGGTTCTAGTTCGACCATCTTCTTACCACTTCTACGAGGAATCAAGGGAGATTCGTTCCACACTCCGCTTCAACTAACTAACTAACTAATTAGAGCAGTTTTATAACTGCATTCTTTATAAGACTAAATAAAAATATCATATTTCAAATCACATTTTATTTCCAACAGCCTCGAGTAAAACTTGTTAAATACATCTTGTTCTAAAACACATTTTAAATTCTGTTCGAAAATACTTTGTCAGGTTCTTACCATATCTTTGGTTATTTATAAAGAAATCTCTTAAAATATTAAATCACATTTATTACGAATACATATGTATATCGCTAAAATCGGTGTAATATTTTATAATATCAGACCTATATTGATTATTAAGTATTTAACAGACAGTTTCTCTTTTATTTAGTTTTAGTAACAGCTATAAATAAAACTAATCAATATGAACCCCGAAGAGATTCATCAAATTAAAAAAACCTGGGAGATTCCAATGGAAAATCCAGCTGAATCGGGTGCAGCAATATTACTTCAATTTTTCACCAAATATCCGTCCAATTTGCAAAAGTTTTCAGCATTCAAAGATTCACCTATACCAGAACTACCTGTGAGTATCAATTATATGGAATAACATTTTGAATTCACTACTAATATGGAATTATAAGCATATAGTTCAGTTATTAGGATAATTTATATATATTTTATGTTATATATGTTATGTTACAGAATAACCCTCGTTTCAAAGCACATGCAGTACGTATTATTCGCGTTTTTGATGATTCCATACAATTACTGGGCTACGATGTAGCAGCTGAAAAACTAGAAGAAATGTGGTCTAAGATTGCTACATCCCATTTTCATAGACAAATTCAAAGGCAATCATTTAATGTATGTATTTGAAACTATTTTTATATTGATACAAATATATTATTTATATACATGTTATTCTCATTTACAATATTGCAGGAACTTAAAGAAGTTATACTTGAAGTCCTTACTGCTGCCTGTTCTCTAAACGAGCAACAAATCGCCGCATGGTCCAAATTAATGGATATTGTCTACAGCATTGTTTTTCAGAAGTTGGATAAACTTGAATCTGGAGAGCAATAGAACTAACTGCATATCGTTGAATAAACAGATATTCATAAATATATAAATGCATTTTAGCAGCAGCACACACACACACACGCATTTAGATTTAGTAGGGGTTTCATGTGATTTATAGTTTGCTAACATAGGAGAATATATAATCAATGTAAAATTTTTTGACTCATGACTTATGGCTCATGAATGAAATTCTACAATATCAGAACTTCTTGTTTTTATAAAATTTTACTTTTAATGTATACACTAGTACGATAAGTACAAGTAAATAATTTACAGGAATCTAGTTAGCTTTGTATACACTCTACACCCTCTACCCTTAAACACAAGGATTCTGTTTTTTATATGTTGAGTACACGCGCTTATAACATTTTATCAAATTAATTTAAAAAAAAATTATAAAAAAGTAATTCAATAATGTTTTAACATATATATGTAATGGTACTAAAACAACGCTTTAAACGTAACATTTGTAAGATTCTAATAACTAATTTAGAAATAGTAAACAATGTAAAACAATGGAACAATATTTGTAAGTTCTTCGTATAGAATTTATTAAAAATGTATTTAAAAAATATGAAGTAAATGTTTAATTTGTTTTATATTTAATAATGGATTGGTGTGCATTTACAATAAAAATGGGGAATTGATCATAAAGAGGTTATAGGAAAAAAAATTAGAATTAACATATAGGAAATATAAACAACAATATGGTTCAGCTTTTCCTAATCGCGATTAGCGAACTTGTAGCGAAACATTTGCATAGTTTCTTTCTAAAATCGCACCCAAGAAAGGCGCTTTACATATAGTAAGTAAATATGCATAACAGATGTTTCTGCAAAAAGAATAGCTGTGAGATAAAAATAGGCTATCTCAAAAATTAACTTTCAATTCTTTGAACTTGTGTTTCCAAATAAATCTGTGGTTTATAAGCTTATTCTAATTTAAAGCTTTGGAAGTGCTTTGGTTAATGCCACTAATCAAATAAAAAAGTTACAAAAAACCTGGAACTAGAGCACTGAAAGTTTGTGCAGCCTGATTACTTGTGGAAAAACACGATTAGTCATCGCTTCTAAGTTAACAAGCACGAGTTCTAAGCCTGGCACTTACAGTTCAAACAAATTATATACGGACTATAAACTAATTAAGAAATTCGAATATTTCCTAACATGAGTGATGATGAGTACGTGGCAATATTCGAAACAGCGTTTTATGGTCAGCCAAACTTCAACACATTAAATAAATTTTTGTTCTTGTCTTTTATTTGCTATTCGAATCGTTCTAACTTTTAAATAGTTTCTTGTAGTTATAAAGACACGTCACTCTCGGCAAGCAAAAATTAAGTTTGAAAAAAAATTAAATTTGATAAAGGTGGTACGAAATGCAAAGTCTAACAAAATTAATGAGCTATATACAATAAAACCACAAAACGCAACTTCATATGGCAACCTTTAACTTTTGCTTATTGCGATTTTGATTTGAGCGGGCATAAATACATACACTAAAACCAATATACATCTAATACAAATAGTTCTCAAACAACCTACAAAACACATTCGAAAAATCACCCTAACAACATCCGCCTATTATATTATGACCTATTGGTCATAATATATTTTTTATTGCATATTTTGAAGGTGAATAATATAGTGTATGAAGTTTAATTTTTATTTACCTGTATTTTTTTACGCTGTCACATAATTGTTTTCCTTAATAAATAAACAATATTTCATGAATTGTTACTGGAGAAGGAGAAAATGTTTTGTACAACAGAGAAGGGGTTACTATTTATTATTATTATTAAAATTGGTGATGTGAATTCGGCCAACAGCTGGTACTGTGGCCAAAAAGGTTCTATTGCACCAATTTCACTATTAATTACATAAAGCCCTCTAAATCTTTGTGAACAAATTCCAGAAATAAATCCGGAGAAGAGTTTTAAATCTATACTGGTGACAGAAATGCCACATGGAACAAAGAATCTGCATAGTTGTCTTCTCATCTTCGAGGCATAATCTGCATTCCTGATCAACAAATAATTCAAGTTTATGAAGGCGATATTTCAGTTTAAAATGATTCGTAATGAAACCCGTTACCAACGTTAAATCATCTTTAGAAAATTTAAGAATGTTTTTGTAGAAGAGTGATTTGATCAGTGGTTTGCTTTGTCTGAGTCTAGAGACATCTTCCCAATACACCAAACGTGAAAACTTTTCAATCTTCCTGATTATTTAGTCCTGTTCAACCCACAAAAGAGTTGAGGATGGTTTTTGATGCAGTTCTGGCTAGTTGATCAGTTAGCTTATTACTTTTTTTTTTTTTTATTATTTGGCACAATATGTACAATAATATAAATACATGTTTCATTTGACTACGACTAGTTCATACAAAGAACTATCAAGCAGTTTTGTTACATTTCAGAATACTTATTAGAATTGTGAAGTTGTCAAAGACTTAGTGTTAATAGTAGTAATCTAAATTATTATTAGACTACTAATTCGGGAGTAGATCTGAAGGCTTTGTTCGTTTAAGTCTTCTCAGCAGGCCAGATGTATTAGACAGATGGTTGACTGTCTCGTTTGGATGTTGTTGTAATCGTTTTTGGTGCTTTACCGCAAACTTCTGGATTACTGCAGCCACAGATTCGATCTTCAAGTCCCGATGGAGGTCAGTATTCCTAATAAACCACGGAGCGTTGACTAAGTTTCTTAAAACTTTGTTTTGAAAGTTTTGAATAATTTGAATAGTGGATTTTGGTGCACATTCCCATAACTGGATTCCATACGTCCACACCGGAGCTAAGACTTGCTTGTATATCATTAATTTATTGTTTAGAGAGACGGGTGATTTTTTCCCAAGAAGCCAATATAAATTTTTGTATTTGGATTCTAGTTCAACTCGTTTTTTCTTTATATGTTCTTTCCATTTCAACTTAGCATCTAAGTTCATGCCAAGGTATTTAGCTGTGTTTGAGTATGGTATTCGAGCACTGCACATAGTTATCGGCAAATAGTCAATTTTTTTGTTTGTGAAGTTTACATGGACGGATTTCGTTTGGTTGAGCTCAATTTTCCATTTTTTAGTCCAACTAATAATTTGATCAATGGAATGCTGCGTTGCTTCTGTTGATTCGTTTATTGTGCTTCCAGTGGTAAGGATCGCTGTATCATCTGCAAACGTGGCAATAACACTTTCTGGTGGGACTTGCAGGTCGGCTGTGTAAATTAGGTACAGAATTGGGCCAAGTATACTTCCCTGCGGTACTCCGGCTTCAATTGGTTCAAGTGTTGAGTACGCACCTTTATATTTCACTCTGAAGAATCGGCAAGATAAGTAGGACCACATAATTTCGGATATTTGTCTCGAAAACCACTGTTCAATCTTATGCACAAGTCCTTTGTGCCAAACTTTATCAAAGGCTTTCGATACGTCTAGGAAAACTGCAGTGCAAATTTTTTGTTCTTCAAGTGCTCTTTCGATTTTGTCGCATATTATGTGTATTTGTTCTACAGTAGAATGCTTTTTTCGGAATCCAAACTGATGACTCGGAACTATTTGATTTTCTGTGAGAACAATCTGTATTCTATTAAGGAGAATTCGTTCAAAGATTTTTGATAAAACGGGTAATAAAGAAATTGGACGATACGACGAAACTTCATTAGCAGGTCCTTGTTTGTGTACCATAAGTACTTCCGCCACTTTCCAATAAATTGGGAAGTGTCTTAAGCGCAGAGCTGCATTAATTATTTTGCATAGTTTGATTATTCCTTTATTAGGGAATTGGTTTAAGATCTCAGCGGTTATCTGATCCCAACCAGCAGCCTTTTTTAGTTTCATATTTCTTATTTCATTTTTTATTTCTCTTAGCGAAGTTGGTTGTATTGCTTGGTTTAATGGATTTAAATTAGACGTAGGAAGATTATTTCCATCATCATTTAGTGTAAATGTTGCCTTAAGAAATTTTGCGAATAAATCTGCTTTTTCTTCGTCACTTTTGGCCCATGATGTGCCATCTGCTTTAATAGGAGGATTATGTTTTATAGGATGTTTTACTGCTTTCACGGCTTTCCATAGCGAGTAATCTGTGCGTTTCTCATAGGAAAGGCTTCTAAGATTCTGTTGTATCTTATCGTTTTTAACATTATTGATAAGTTTTCGTAGTTGTGCAGTTTTCCTATTTAATTCCGTTTTATCAGTTGGTGATCGTGTTTGTTGCCATTTTTTACGCAATTTCCTTTTTTCCCATATTAGTTTATTTATTTCTTTTGGAAGAGTTGGTCTAATCTGGTGTTTAGAGAACTGAGAAGTACTCATCCATGCTGATTTTTGAATCTGCTGTGTAAATAGAAGAACTTCGTTATCCACTTTAGTCACTGAGTTTAGATCAGAGTTAAGATTAAGAGTGTTTTCAAGGTGCAGCCTAAAGTAATCCCAGTCAGTAGATCTATTTATTAGATAAGGCTTCGGTTCATTTATGACTACACTTTTATTAATAGAGAGGTGCACAGGTGAATGATCAGAAGAGAGATCGTATCCATTTTCTATTTGTAAGAGTTCTTTCGGTATTTTTTTAGTTATAAAAAAGTCAATCAGATCCGGTATTTTCGCTGGGTCAGTTGGCCAATATGTGGCTTGTATGGCTTTTAATAGTTCTCGGCCCTTAGTTGTAGTTAATCGCGAACCCCAATGGACATGTTTAGCATTAAAATCGCCGCCAATAATGAATTTATTTTTAAATTTAGAAAGGAAGTTTATATATTGGTCTGTACTAATAGAATGTCTTGGAGGACTGTAGACCGAAATAATTGATAATTTTTGATTTTGTACTTTTATTGTAACAGTTGTGACTTGAAACTCGCTACAACTGATATTTTCCTCTTCATAGTGACTGATGGTTTCCTTTATTATAATAGCACTTCCCCCTCGTGCATTGTTATTCGGGTGAGTAGTGTGGTAAGTTTCATAACCTCTAAATTTTATATGTGATTCCCTCGTAAAGTGCGTTTCTGCTGTTAGACATATATCGATTGACTTTTTGTAAAGAATAGTCTGTAGTTCGTTTTGTTGATGTAGCAGCTCATTTGCGTTCCAGAGCATAACTTTTATTGAAGACTGCATTACATACGGTGTTTGGGAAGGATCTGTTCTAGTTTACTTATCCGTTCATCTAAAACTTTATTAAATTTTTCCTGGTTTTGTAGCAGTTGAAGTACCAACTGCAAGGTTGAAGAAGTTTCTGCAGGGTTTTGAGAGTTATTATTTGATGTAGTATATTCGATCATGGCAACCCTGTATAAAGAAATAGATAAAAAAGGAAAAATACAAAATGCGTTTTTGTTTCGTCGTCGTGCTCAAAGGAGTATGCGTGCCGTGCCGTGATTATTAGAATTATTAATATTAAATTGTAAATCTATATAACTTTAATCAATAAAGTATATTGTATTATATATAAAGAATATAATAAAATTTGGCGACGAGGATAAAACATTAAAGGATGGCGAAGATGTTTGGTGAATTAAGTCAATATAACGTGGCGTCGG